GCAGCTGCAGCTGCAAAGTAATAATAAGAGGAGGAAGGCTAGCGTTCTTAAAAGGAGAAGTACAGCGATGTGTATTATTACCTCATCGACTCGAAAGCAAATAGAGAACTAAAAAGGAGGCGAAGTGTTTTGTGAAATTATGCTGAAAGGAAGATAAAGCTGTTCGAGTGCTTATTCAAGAAATTATGCAGAAATAATATTTTATTTGTGGCTGAGATAACGGCAGTGCTTATAGGGAAGAAAAAGTATTCAAGTACTTTCTCTTGAGATTTATCCCAGGGAAATATAAAATTAAATGCTGAAAAAAGTTGAACAACTCTTCAGGAAATGAGAGGAAAAACCAGCCGAGACAGCTAAACATAACTTTTTAACGGTATTTTTGATGTTTCTCACGAATTGTTTATTTTTATTTGTTATTATTTACCCAATTATTCAATTAACGTTGGTGTTTTCGGTAGACGCTCGCTAAGAGCGCTCGATCTGTCGATCCAACAGCCATTTCAGGGGCTGAACGGAAATTCAGGATATTCAACTTCTTTATTTATATGTTTTTCAGAGAAAGAAACGAGAGAGAAGATATAATACATATTCTACTTATGTGATTTACTCGATTTCCCCAAGGAACAGCCTCTCAATTACTGCGGAATTCTCTAAGAAATTCCTTCAGCTTTCTTCAGCTTTCAGGTGTACAGGCAGCTCTTCACAATTTGCAAAAAAAGAAGTTTCTCTTACCACTTCATTTTCTATAATCGAAGTATCGGGGCTGGGCCCAGCCCCAATACAATTATATTTGTGAATAGAATAAGAAAATATGATTTATGATTTTAAATGCAGAATTAAAATTTAAACTGATGTTTTTATTGCCATCGGTTCCATACAAAATACAACAGTTAAAGTTTACTGGGGGATGCTGCGACGCATTCCTTTCCCTATACGTAATTGCCTGAACGGTCAGCCTTTGATTTTTTCTCCTTTTTCTTTTTTTTCTTCTTCATATTTTCATTCTTCTTCAATTTCGCTTGTCTTTCCTTCCAGTTTTCTGACATTTCCTCCGAAATTCGATCGGGGCCTAAACCTAGGGAAGCCCACCACCCCCACAGCAGCGTCGTCATCGCCACCTTCTTGGCACCTTCTTACTGCCGCAGAAGGCAGGTATTCATTTAACAATTGTGGGAATCCAGAAGGCGCATCTTTACTCGGAAATGCCATGGCGCTGCGTGCAGTGCGCAGCAGACAACAGGCAGCAGCGTCAGTGGGGCCCTATGTACGGCCTGCTGCTGTGACGGTTCCCTCTGCAGCAGGAGCAGCAAAGGGGCTTCGCCCTTTAACTTCTCAAGCTAGCAGCAACTCCACAGACACTGCAACATTCCCTTTACAAAAGAAATACGGCCAACATCTTCTTAAAAACCCTGGTATACTCGATAAGCTCCTCGTTGCTGCGAACATCAACAGTTCAGATGTTGTGCTAGAAATAGGACCCGGTAAGTCTACTGTCTAGTCTAATTAAATTGCTGTCTTAATATCTTTTCTTTTATTATACAGCCCTTTGTTTTATCAGACAGACATTTAATAAATCATTACCCCACGGACCCTCGCAGTCGTCATACTCGGGTTGATCATAGAACGAATATATAATTCTTGCATGCGCTGGTGCTTCCATATACATACATATTTTATGCATGCTTTTCAGTTTTATCCTTATATTTAGTATATATATATATTTGTTTATTCATTTGCTTACTTCTATGCACTCATTTGCTTACTTCTATGCACTCGAAGGTCTGCTGTGCATGGAAGGGTGTAGAGTTAATGCGTACTTGTGTCTTATATTCATCTTTTAGTATTTCTGCATGCATATATCTGCATGCAAGGCTCTGTATCATACAACGAGGTATATAACATGCAATATAAATATAACATGTATATAACATGCAATTGAGTTTACTTCAACTGCATGCACCCATTAGTACATGAGTAGACTGGCTCTATAGAGTAAATAAATAAATAAATATATATATATATGTATATTCTGGATATACATATATATATGTATATATATATGCATATGATTTAAATTGTTATATCCCTATACATGTGTATTATATACTATATATACTATATATATAATATATATATATATATATATATATTGTATAATTCTAGATTATATGTATGTTCAGGTACGGGTAATTTGACGGTGCGTTTATGCGGATTGGCTCGAGCGGTGCATGCGATGGACATAGACGGGCGGATGATCGCTGAAGTAGAGCGTCGATGTCGCAGTTTAGGTTTGATGAATTTGAAGACGATTCACGCAGACGTCCTAAGACAAGACTTAGGCAAATTCGATGTCTGCGCGGCGAACCTTCCCTATCAAATTTCAAGCCCTTTTCTCTTCAAACTCATCGCCCATAAACATCCATTCAGGTTAGACCCTCATCCCTCATATATATATATATATATATATGAATATGTATATATATATATATATATATATATA